GTTATTACACCAGTGGGGCTCTGGGCTCTGCTTTGGAATTTTGTCCAGTGTTTTATACCATATTCACTGCATCCAGTTGGGGAAACTGTTCTTCAACTCTGGATTCTTTCCACCTGAATATGTGCAACCCTGAAATCTCCAACAGAATCAGGCTCATTGTTCACGTCTCTGTGTTTCATTTATTGTTTGCAGCTGCATTTCCCTGCCTCTTGCTGGAAGGAGAGAGGCAAGGCCTTTGGGGTGCTCACCCTGCAGGTGCAGATGTTGGGGAGGGTCCTGGGACTTCAGGCTGCAGCATTACAGCTTTGGAGGTCCTGGGTGGGGTCAGGACTGAACTAGTCTTGCTTGATCTGCTCTAGAGACCCGTTTCTTGGCATTTTTGCATTCTTGAAAGAGAAGTTGTCTATTTTCCCCCTTACCTTCTTTTCTTTTTCTCTTTTCATTTTGTCTGGGAGAAGAAAAAAATCTGTGAGGAAGTTTCAATATTTCACATGCATGTTTCCGCGTATGTAGTATTAAGGTCTTGGCAAATGCAGCTGCCTCTCAGCTGGTTTTTAAGGGGGTCCGTAGGAGTCACGGCCATGGCCACTGTGGGATGCGGAAGCTGGGAAGTGGAGCTGGGCACTTTTGCCATCTCCTGGTGGGCCTGAGCTGTGGGCCACAGAGGGAAGCGTTCCCATTTAGCAGCGATGGGATTAGAAATGTCAAGCAAGATTACAAGATAGTGAGGACGCGTGAGAAGGAAAGCATGATCCAAAAATGTGAGGACAAAGAGCGCCGCCTCTGCGTGCCTCCAGGGAAACAATCTGGTGAAAGGAGGTGATTCACTCGCTCACAATGGGCAGTGACACAGCAGAACTGGGTGTTTCGATACTTCTCTGCCGACCAGAGAGAGTTATTTCCAAGTCGGAACAATAGAAGATTTTTTTTTTCCTACCTGTGCTTTTCAGAGCAGCTGGTGATTGGCTTGTAAGGACCCAAGATACAGTTTTTTAAAGTTTAACTGAGGTTCTCTTTTATTTCAAGATCTCCAAGAAACTTCCCAATTATACCATATAGAGTCCTGTTCTTTTTGACACTGCTATTTCCATTTGTTATTGGAGATTTTCTTTTTCTTTTTTTTATAATAAATTTATTTTTTATTGGTGTTCAATTTGCCAACATACAGAATAACACCCAGTGCTCATCCCATCAAGTGTCCCCCTCAGTGCCCGTCACACAATCACCCCCACCCCCCGCCCTCCTCCCCTTCCACCACCCCTAGTTCATTTCCCAGAGTTAGGAGTCTTCATGTTCTGTCTCCCTTTCTATTGGAGATTTTCCATTGATTTAAGGACTGGACAGGTAAGTACTTGTAGCTTCACAGCTGCCACTGACTATTTTAATTTGGCCGTGACAAGGCCCCTTAAATGATGGTGGTCTCTATGTGCAGGAAGAAAATAATCCAGATGCTAGAAAGAAAAAGTTTGGTACATTGGGTACATCAGAGATTTTGACAATAAAAAGGCAAATAAGACACTGGAGAAAATATTTGTAATACTTTAAGCCAACAAAGGACCAGTTAAGGAGTCCTTTAATTAAAAAAAAAAAAAATAGAAGAAAGAAAAAAGAAAATTGGAAGCAATGATGTACAGACCAGTTTAGAAAAAAAAAAAAAAAGCAGACAGGAAAAAAATGCATCGAGTGGGTTCTGGGATAGTAAGACTGCTTCTTCACTGTTAGACCAAGTATCCTTGAGTTTTAACCTGCTGGATGGATGTAGAATGATGTTTGTGCATTAGTGAGCACAAACAGCCCGTTTAGCGTCTGACTGTAACTTTTGTGTATATTATACATGTAATAGAAACATGGACACGGGGAATAAGGAGTTAATGCACCAGGAGTTATTATATACTAGCCTATGAAAAATACTTGACGTTAAGAATTAAAGAAAAATTCTTTTTGCATATCACTTTGAGAAAACATGGACAGAAATTTAAGTTTGTTAATCTTGGTTGCCAGTGAGGGTGGTTGGAGGGAAGGATGACTGGCTTAGCTTTTACGGAGGGCCTGCTGGTTGTGTTTATCCAAATTAAAAATCAAACACGGGGATCCCTGGGTGGCTCAGTGGTTTAGCACCTGCCTTTGGCCCAGGATGTGGATCCTGGAGGCCCGGGATCGAGTCCCATGTCAGGGTCCCTGCATGGAGCCTGCTTCTCCCTCCTCCTGTGTCTCTGCCTCTCTCTCTCTATCATAAATAAACAAATCTTTAAAAAAAATCAAAACTTTTACTTGGTTATCTCACTTGGCAGTGGTACTCCATGAATATTCTTACCAAAGGCAGCCAAACACGTGCAGAGAACTCATGAGAGCGATGGCCCCAAACAGAAAACCTTCCAAGTTTCCATTGGTGACTGGTTGAATAAATTAAATTCTACAGTAGATTATCAGGTGCTCTTTAAAAACGGTGAGGTAGATCTATAAGTGCTGATATGAAAGATTCTTTCCAAAACCATTAGTTATGCTTATTTATGTTTTTTTTTCCAAAAGATTTATTTATTTATTTTAGAGAGACTGTGTATTCAGGGAGGAGGGATACAAGAAGAGGGAGAGTGTCCCAAGCAGTCTCTGCACTGAGCGTGGAGCCCGACCCTGCTCGATCTCACAACCCTGAGGTCACCACTGGAGCCCAAACCAAGAGTCGGACACTGAACCGACAACCACCTGGGTGCCTTGCTTATATATGTTTTTTAAAAATGAATTCAGGAAACTGTTCAGATAATTTATCCTTTGGGAGAGTGGTTATATTCTTTCTGTACTTTTAACATTTGCTAACCATGCAAATATGTAATTATTTATAATGTCAAAAGTTGTTGTATGAATCTAGGTCTATAAACCATTTTGTTTTCTTTATACCTCTCTGTCTTAAAAAATGGCTATCACATGTTGTTTAAAATTTTTAAATCAAAAAATTATGTACTTATTCTTCTTAATGATGTCAAGTCATTGTTGCATTTGAGGCACGTGTTCTGTCTTGTGCATTTGTATTCAGCCAGAGTTAATTAGGGAATCCTCCCCCACCACCCCTCTACTCCCATTCTTCAGGAAATGATTATTTGTTGCAGAGAAGGTGACCGGAACGGTCTGTGGTCGTCTGAGCGTTCTTGACCTCTCCTTCTGGTTTAATTACCATCCTTTGAGTCAGGTGGTGGCCTCCTGCAGACACCCTCCCCGTTATCAGGATGTATGATACTGGGCTCAGTAATTGGTCAGGAACTTTTCATAATGAAGCACTTTCTGGCACAAACAATATTATCTCATGAACTATTTCAAAGGTGGCGATTTCTTATCTTCTTTAATTACAGTAGGGGTGGGAACCTTTCCACTAGTGTTTCACCTTTATGGCTCCCAGCCACATGCACCCCACCTAATGCATTTAGATGCTGTTTCATTACAGGGAAGATCAGGGACAGGCAGTTCAAAGAGCAAAGGAATTGAAGAGATTAGACGTTTGTTTTGGTTCAAAGCATAGTAACTTGGCATCTGAAATAACCTTCTTAAGTGTTAGACTGAGTATCCTTCTCTTCCTAATCTGCCGATTTAGGTTTTTCTTCACGCATTATTGAATGCCTAGCCTGTTTTGTGTCTGGTTATAAAGTTTTGTATTTGTGTGATGAATGGAAGTCTACAGGAGAACATTATCTAACATAAAAATCAAGGGAAGAATGATGACAATAAGAATAAACTGGTGATAATTGAAGATTTTCTCTTAATTAGTTTTTCACTGAACTCTACCTTGGGTATCTCCTTCTTAGATAATTAAATTCCATGTATCAATGGTAGTTCCTTTTTTTTTTTACTTTGAAAATTCAAGACCATGCAAATTATTGCAATCCTTATCTGTACCCCTTTTTTTTCTGCGTGAAGAAATTTGACTCCAATAATCTGAATTTTAGAAATTTGTTTCAATCTTTTTTTTTTGAATTTGTTCCAATCTTAAGGAGGATTTTTATTTTTTCAAAAGAAAAATTGTTTCTATGCAAAAAATATTTGTTGATGGAAGAATGTGAATTATGGTATACCCATTAGGTAAGAGCATAATGCCATCAGTAAGATGCTAGTTATGAACCTCGTGCAGCAACAGCAGAAAATACTCATAAGGGGCATCTGGGTGGCTAAGTAGGTTGAGCTTCTGACTCTTGATTTCAGCTCAGGTCATGATCTTAGGGTATTAGATGGAGCCCTGAGATGGGCTTTGTGCTCAGCAGAAAGTCTGCTTCTCCCTCTCCCTCTTCTCCTCCCTCTGCTTGGGCTCTCTCTCTCTCTCAAATAAATAAATGAATAAGAATCTTAAAGAAAAAAGAGAGAAAATACTCATAAAAAGAGGTGAGTGTGTGTGTGCTACTGCTCTCTCTGGGAAAATGTCTATTTGGATGGAAAAGGCAGTAATATTAAAGAAATTAGAAAAATATTGGGCACTTCAGTGGCTCAGTCAGTTGGGCATCTGACTCTTAGCTCAGGTCTTGATCTCAGGGTTGTGAGTCAAGCCTCATGTTGGGCCCAGCGTGGAGCCCACTTAAAAGAAACAAACAAACAAACAAATAAATAAATAAAAAGAAAAATAGTTAACTTGTTGGAATAGGAGAAATATGAATGAAGTTATTTATTTAATTTCTTTAACGTCATGAAGTCTACCATAAATAAGAATGTGGAGAAAAAGGAAAGAAGTAGAAGACCTGCCTTTTGGGGGGGAAGTATGAGGAGCTGACAGTCGTGGGTCTGGATGTAGTGATGAATGAACTGGGCCTTTTCTGTGGGTCCCTGTCCCAAATGAGTGTTTTCAGAGATGCACAGTAGGAATGACAAGGAGTTCCTTTTTATTTTTTTTTATTTTTTATAAGGAATTCCTTTAAAGGAGGCCTGACCTGGCCAGTGTACCATCCTTCAGGAGAGGGGGATACCATCGTACTTTGCAGTTTATTCAATTTCTATTTTTTTTTTTTTTTGGACATCTTCTCCAGGTCCTATCTCTTGCTGAATTCTTTTGGCCATGCATCCTGTTCATGATTCTGACAGTGCTTCGCTTTCAAGAACCTCCCAGACACAGAGACAATTGTAAGTGTCACTTTTGCTATACTTGTTGAAATACAGCCCTCTGGAGAAAAAAGTGCAGCTCTCTTTCCTCTGTTCTTTATAGATCCAGAACTCTGTGTGGAGTGAATGAATATTTATTGTAATATCACAATAGCTATATTTCTGGAGTATGTGCTAGTAAGCATTAGTTTATGTTTTTTTCTCTTAAGAATGAGGTTCACACATGTCTGCTCCATCTAGCAGATAGATTAATTCCTCTAAACTGCCTCTTTGGGCATAGGTTTATGTGAGATTATACATATATAAAGAGTATTAAAAATAAAAGTGGCAGGTACATTTCACAGTTTGCCACATGATACTGGTGGCAATCGTGGTTATGGTGGTGGGGAAGGTGGTGGTGGTGATACTGGTGATAGTGATGATGAAGATGTTGGAGATGATGGTGATGATAATGTGGTGATGATGGTGATGATGGTGGTGATGATGGTGGTGATGATGGGGGTGATGATGATGGTGGTGATGATGGTGGTGATGATGGTGGTGATGGTGATGATGGTGATGGTGGTGATGATGATGGTGGTGATAATGGTGATGATGGTGGTGTTGATGGTGGTGATGATGATGGTGATGGTGATGATGGTGATGGTGATGGTGGTGATGATGATGGTGGTGATAATGGTGATGATAGTGGTGATGATGGTGGTGATGGTGATGGTGGTGATGATGATGGTGGTGATAATGGTGATGATGATGGTGGTGATGATGGTGATGATGGTGGTGATGATGGTGGTGATGATGGTGATGATGATGGTGATAATGGTGAGGGTGATGATGATGGTGTTGATGATGGTGATGGTGATGATGGCGATGATGGTGGTGATGCACTGATAACCCATTACTGATTAACTTCTGCTCCAAGGGCTTTATCAGAAAGACCCTTGTGTTTATCTGGTTTGAAATCTTAGCAGCGTTGCTGCTTATGAAATGGTGGCCTATTTTCTATCTACTGGATTTATGCCACTTGAAATATGGATAATGTGGCTAATTCTGAAAATGTTAATGAATAAAGGACTATTAAGGGATGGGCTTTATCTAAAATAGCACGTCACTATCCAACAAAATTCATTCATTTACTCATTTGGCAAATATGTATTGAGGGCCTGCTTGTCCAAGTCCTTGCTGAAGATAGAGTAGGAGACAAGGTATTTTCTGTTTCCTTATAAAGAGCTTGCCATCAGGCCAGACTAATACAACACAGTGGCAAAATGTCACAATGGGCTTCTGCAGAGGGGCCATGTAAGCACAGAGGAGAAGGCTCCTGGGGAATTGGCATGTGATCCTTTGCTGGACTAAGGTGTGCAGAAGAGGAATGATCTGGGCAGGGCAAGCAGCTTGGGGAGAAGTGAAACTAAATGGGATTCCTTACAACTAAGAAGCAGGGACGTGGGGATCCCTGGGTGGTGCAGCGGTTTGGCGCCTGCCTTTGGCCCAGGGCGCAATCCTGGAGACCTGGGATCGAGTCCCACGTCGGGCTCCCGGTGCATGGAGCCTGCTTCTCCCTCTGCCTGTGACTCTGCCTCTCTGTCTCTCTCTGTGTGACTATCATAAATAAATAAAAAAAATTAAAAAAAAAAAAAGCAGGGACGTGGCAGGTGGAGTACACAGGTCAGATCCATAGGAGGTTTGTATGATGCCGAGGATGGTCACCTCCTAAGGGCACAGAGGAGCCATAGACCGACCGTACAGCATGAAGGCCCAAGTCACTAGTGGCAAAATGTCCTTGAGTGGTCTCGTTGTAAATAACAAAACATTGAAAGTACTAGTGGTGCTAGTTCAGTCCTCGCAGCTGGGAAGAGCGGCCTGTGGGTCCTTACGTAAAAGCCTACACCTGGTCCTCGAGGGTTCATCCGCCCTCGCTCTGTATCGGGAGCCTGGTCCCAGCAAAGAAGTGGCGAGGGGAGGCCTGGCAGCGCTTCTCACACGTTGATGCAGAAGAGCACTGGTGGGGAGGAGAGCCTCAGAGGGGCCCGGAGACCACACTGTGAATCTGTGTGCACTCGCCGGCTGTGTAGGCTTGGGCCAGCGACCTTGCCTTTGTGAGTCTCTGTAACGACAGGTGACTTTACCTGCCTCAAGAACGGCCCAAGAACTCAGTGAGAAAGCCAGTAGTGAGCGTGTGGCCAGCGCGGGGCTTGGCACACAAGAGATGACCAACGCGGGGCGCCCGGGGGTGCAGTCGCTTAAGTGTCTGCCTTTGGCTCAGGCCATGATCTCAGGGTCCTGGGGTCGGGCTTTCCTCTCAACGGCAAGTCCGGGTCTCCCTCTCCCTCTGCCTCTGTGATCTCTCTTGCTCTCGCTCTCTCTCAGATACATAAATAAAATCTTAAAAGAAGAGACAGATGATGCACACATATCTGTTCCCCGTCCTCACCCTTCCCGCTCTCCCCATGCCAGGACTGGAGTCCTCCATCTCTGCCCGCTGACGGCCCCTTGTGGTGGCCGGCACCCCTGCCACGTCCCGGGGGTTGGTGGCACAGAGCACGTTAGGCAAACACGCCTTTTCTTACTAGCTGGCCACGACCCCAGAGCTGTGTCTGGTCTCCTCCCCAGCGCCCTGGGCCTTGTGTTAGCTCAGAACCCTGTTGGCCTCTCTAGCTTACAAGCCCGCTGGCTCATCTTTTCTTCCGTTCTTTTGTTCTTTCTTTCTTCCTGTCATTTGCTTGTTCATTCAGTCATTGATTCACGATCCAACGTTAGGTGACTGTCTTCTGCGTGCAGAGCATTGTGCGGAAAGGACCGCGGGCATGGGGGTCTCCGCGCCTCGGGGAGTGCGATCATTTCCCAGAACAAACCAGATTCCTGGGAAGGGCCCTCCGCCAAGGCTTTACCAGCTGCCTCCTGTTAGATCCGCAGTTTCCAGGTTGCCTGGGGGCAAGGTGTCTTTGAGTACTCAGACTTTTATTTATTATTCATTTATTTACTAAAGATGGTGCTTATTTATCAGAGAGAGAGCAGGAGCCAGATGGGGGAGGGGCAGAGGGCGAAGTAGGCTCCCTGCTGAGTGGGGACTGGACCCCAGGACCCTGGATCACGACCTGAGTCCAGGGCAGAGGCTTCACCGACTGAGCCCCGGGGCGCCCCTAGACGGCAAGTGAATCACGGGTTGATGCTATAATAACAGCATCTCAGACACTTCCCTTCTGACCGGGGAGGCATCCGCGTCCACCCCCAGTTACAGGGACGCGCTTCTTCCTTGCTCCACTCAGGTTTTCTGCAAGCCCGGGACCTGCCCAGCCGCGGCGTCCTCCCCTTCATGCAGGCCCTGCTCTGCAACACCGGCTCCACCTGCAGGAACGTGAGCTCCACGGCGCCCGCGGAGGGCCCTCGGCGGTAAGAGAAAGCCAGCTCCTTTTCCGAAAGCGCGGGGTTGGCGGGCCTGGGAGTGAGGCCTCAGTGCCCTGGGGTGCCCTGGGGGGTGCAGGGTGGGCCCAGGCGGGTAGTGAGGCCTCCGTGCCCTGGGGGGGTCACAGAGCCTGAAGTCCGGGAACCCGAGCGCCCGAAGGCCGGTGTGCCCCCTGGCGGCCCGCGGCAGGCTGGGGCGGCCTCCTGCCGCTTGTTCTTGGACCCACGAGGGACTGTGGACTCGCAACCACCCGCGCGACTGTTTTCCGTAGCTTAACAGTCTGGCTCCCACCGACCGGCGCAGCCAACTGCGGTCCTGGCGCCAGGTGGCGCCGGCAGGTGTGAGTGCGAGCTGCCCACTGGGCTCTTCTCCGGCCCGTCCGTGGCTGAGATCACCGGCCCGCGGGGCATTCACCAGCTCATGCAGGGTGGTGGGCTTCCGTGACCGGGCCACTCTGGGGCCGCCTGGGGACGGGGGTCGCTCGGCATCCAAGGCCTCACGGGCGGGAGCCCCTGGGTTCCCTACGAGACGACTCAGAACACAGAGGCTCTGGAAGCTTCGCCAGAAGAGATGGGGAAGGGTGATGGCTCGGGCCGCGCTCCATCCTGGCCTCCGGGCCGGGCCCGTCTAGACGCTCGCATGGGAGGGGCGCTACAGCACCCCTGCACCTCCACCCTGCGACCCCGAGGGAGCCGCAGGCTTCTGGGTGACTCGTGACACACCCCGTGCGACGTTCACCTACCTCCTGCCTGTACTGGAGACGCGTAATCGAAACGTGAGGCGTAGGGAAAGTCATTTCGAAACCGTCGGACGTCAACCCGAGATACTCAGTGGTCGTTCTGTTCCTGCGGCAACTAAAGGGGTAACACCCTCTTTCTGGGAGTTTGGGGGGCTCAGCTTGCTGGCATCTCCTCCTCGGACTCCCCTCCTTCCCCTCCTCCCCTCCTCCTCCTGTCCTTCCTCTCCGTCCTCCCCCTCCTCCCTGTCCTCCTCCCCCTCCTTCTCTCACCCCGGGCTCCCCCTCCTCCCCCTCCTCTCCCTCCTGCTCTCTGTCCTCTCCCTCCTCCCCATCCTCTTCCTCCTCCTGCCCCTCTTCCCTCTCCTCCTCCCCCTCCTCCCCGTCGTCCTCTCCTCTCCCTCCTCCCCATCTTCTTCCTCCTCCCTGTCCTCTCCACCCTCCCCTTCTCCCCCTCCTCCCCTCCACCCCGGGCCCCCCCCCTCCCCCTTACTCAGAACGGACCCTTAGGGTCTTTCCCAGTAGGGAAAGGTGGGCTTTGCCCCCAGACAGTGGCCCTGTTTACTGCTGGGCATCTGGGGCGTCCAGCGTCTCTGACCCTCAGGGTTCCCTGACCGGCCTCCTGGCTTGTGAGTTTGGAGGACGACGCCCGCGGCTCCTCATCGGCCCACAGCTGCCCTCCTCCCCCCACTTCCCTTAGCCGATACTCGGGGACCGTCCTTCTGACCCCGGACAGCGTGTCACACCCCGTCCTGGGGCCATCCATGCCGGGCAGGGCAGCGCGTAGCCAGGGAGGAGTGGCTCTGGGCGTCTAGAGGTGCTGAGGCGGGTCTGAGACGCACAAAGTGACGCAGAGTGACCTGCAGGCTGTGGGTGGTGTGGGGGCGCGGTGGGGGGCAGAGGGGCCGCAGGTGGGTGGGGAGGACACTGGCGCCGGCTGCAGGCTGCTGGCCTGTCCACCCCCCACCCCGTTCACCCGTGAGCACCCTTGACCCCCAGGGCTGTGCAGACTCCGTCCATGGGCCTGCGGTGAGCGGCTCGGAAGCGGCTGGGTTTACACCCGCAGAGCAAGCTTCCCCTTGGGTCTCTTCAAGACCCATCGCGGCTGGTTCAGTGTGGAATTCCGTGCCCTGGGTCAGGCCGGAGCTTCGCTCTGGGCGGGAATCCCACATGGCATCACCGTGGGAGGTGCTCCCCAGCACGGCTTTGGGGGGCGACCGCCCTGGGCTCCAGGGGTGCGGTCGGGGCTCAGGGGGAGTCGCCCTGAGAGCAGATCCCGAGCGTGAGGACGGGGTCCGCCTGGGTTCCTGGGGGAAGCCTCTCCCGGGCGTGCGGCCCGGCCCACCTGCCCTTGCCCCGTCTTGGGGGGGCTGCGGAGGAGGGTGGGCAGCGCCCCACCTGCCTTCCCTCTGGCGTCCTCACTGTGCGGCCCTCGGCTTCGTCACCTTTCTTCCTTCTCGGTCCCCGAGCCCTCGAGGGTCACCCCCGTCCGCCCCAGGGTTTGCATGCTTTCCCGAGTCGCCCCCATTCCGCGGCTCCGGGGTCCTTTACAAGCAGCCGGACCCTCTGCCTCCTCCCAGGGCTAGAGTTCATCCTCGCCCTGAGAAGGAGGGACGGGGGCGGCCCGGGAGATTCTGTGGGGGCCCCGACCCGGTCCCTGACGCAGATGAGACGCTGGGGCTCGAAGTCCAGGGCCCAGAAAGGGTTCTTGGGACGTCTTTGGTGCAAACAGGGTTTTATTGGAGCCCAGCGAGAGAGGCCTGTGCCACGGGGCAGGGGGAGGGCGCGTTGTAGGCTCTCAGGCCGAGAGGGGTCAGGGAGCGCGTGAGTCCCTGAGGAAGCGGGGTTCCAGGACCCCGGGTGGGGGGCTGGTGGGGGGAGAAGGTCAGTTATTACGTCTAACACAATAAGAGCCCTGAGCCCCTTCGGGTGGATGTGGGTGGGCCAGGTGCTTGGGGTGATCCTGCGGGCTTAGAGGTAAAGGGAGTTTCTAAGGGGACGTTTCTGTGTCGGAGCAGACTCATGGGGTCCTGGGGGTCGGGCCAGGATGGGGCAGCTGAGTCCCCAGAGGAGGGTCCCCCTGCCTGGCTCAGGGTGTGTCACTGGGCTGCAGGTGGTAAGGAAATGTTGTGACTTCCGTCCTGCCTCTGTTTCCCCCCTTCTGGACACACATCATCCCCTTTGCCTTGGTGCTGCGCCCTCTGCACCCTTCACTCCACCGGGCTGCCCCCCCCGCCCCCTGAGGTCACAGGTCCCCCCCCAGTGAACACTGGTGCCCAGCAGCTTCCTCCGTGGCCCCTCCATGGCCTGCGGGTCGGAGTCGCCCCTCCTGGTCGGGGTCTAGCGACCAGGGGCTCCTGCGGTGGATCCCGCTCCCAACTCCGCCTGTGCCCCCCTCCCCTTGTGACCTTGGAAATGAAGGGGCAGTGTTGGGGTGCTCCGAGGGGGGCCTTGGGACCCGTTCTCGGATGCTGGCGCCTGTCCATGTGCGCCAGCCGGAAGGGCCTGGGCTGCGTGCTGGATGGACCCCGCTTCCTCGTCCTCCGTGTCAGGCTGCAGCCGGGGCCCTGATTTCAGCTCCACTGTCGCCTCAGGCCTTGTCGCCCCCCTTTACAGTTTTCTCTCTGAGGAGTCACAGAGCAAAGACAGGCCCGCAGGGTCCTGGGGTTCATTTCTAGGCCCTTCCCAGCACTCAGACCACTGGCCTGGCCCGCAGACGTGCTCCCCATGACCCGCAGGATGTGCTCCCCATGACCCAGGCTGCCCACGTCCTCGGGTCCCTCCCCGGGGCTCTCTGATTCTCATGGGGATGCAGGGGTGTTCTGATAACTTTCATTTGTAAATTCCTCCCCAGGAAAGCTGGTTTTATTTTTATAACATGTTAATATCCTAGTTTTAAAAAAATATTGTTCATTTATTTATTTGAGAGAGAGAGACAGAGAGAGAGAGCGCGCGCAGGGGGAGGAGAAGGAGCGGAGAAGCAGGGAGCCTGCCCACAGGGGCTCATTCCCACGACTCCGAGCTCATGACCTGAGCAGAAATCAAGAGTCAGGTACTCAGCCAGCTGAGCACCCAGACGCTCACCACACGCCCACCTAGATGCCCACTAGATGCCCACTAGATGCCCACCAGGCACCCACCCAGGTGCCCACCCAGGCACCCACCACACGCCCACCCAGGTGCCCACCTAGACACCCACCCAGGTGCCCACCCAGGCACCCAACATGCGCCCACCCGGCGCCCACGCACGTTCCCTCTAAGTACAGTTGCTCCTTTTGCCCTAGTGTTGAATTGGTCTGGGCTTTGGGTCTCTGCGTGGGGTGAGGATCCAGTTGCACTTGTTTCTCCCGTCCGGTGAGCGATTCCTTATCTCCACTCAGGAGCAGCTCTCCCATCCCCCACCGATCTGCATGGAGCTGCCCGTGGACGCGGCCTTGGTGCCCTGTGGGCTCTGGAACCTTCTAGACGGAGCCACCCTGGCCTGCGCTCAGGGCCTTCCTCTGGGAGCTCCGCCAGGCAGGCACGCCTACCTCCCTGTGTCCCGTAGGGGAGTGTCTGTGCTTCCTCGTTCACTTTACACACGTGTCGGTGAGGGCCCCAAGAGGACTCTGCTGGGATTTTGGTCGGTGTCGCGTGAATGTCCCCGCGGGGCTTGTTGGTATTTCCCCGTGAAGGCCATGGACACCTCTGCTCACACTATCCCAGTTACCGTGTATTTTTGGTTGCTGTTGCGAATGGGATCTTTTTAAGATCTTATTTATTTATTCATGAGAGACGCAGAGAGGCAGAGACACGGGCAGAGGGAGAGGCAGCTCCTGCGGGACTCGATCCCGGGACCTGGGGGCACGCCCTGAGCCCAAGGCAGATGGGCCCTGTGCCCCTTGAGCTTTGAGGCACTTCCAGTTTCCCCGAAGCGTCCTGCCACGTCACCTCGTCACCTCCTCAGTCCCGGCACCAGGGCGCTGGTGCTCCACCTGCCGCCGCGGCCTCCCGGTGTTTGGGCGCCTCCTCCTTTCCGCCGGGTTCCGCATTGAGTCACGTCGTGGGGTGTAGTCTTACCTTGTGTTTCCCACCGTGGATGCTGTCGGGATACGGGGCGACGGGCCGCGGCCGCCTGAGTATTCCTTCGGGGTTTGCTCTTCCTCCCGTTTCGGGCTCACAGCTTCCAAATCCCTGGCGTTTCCTGGAGCTCAGGACGTAGCCCTGGGGTCTTTGTTGTGTTAATGGCGGTGACTTTCGGACCTGCCCTGG